AGTATAAGACCTTTACTTTCACTGTAATTTTGTATCACTACTTGTATACAGAGTGAGTAGTTTTATGCTATTTGTGTATTCTATGTTTTGTATTTCACTGTGGTTTGTCTCAGGGACTGCAGATGAAAATGAGCTTCAGGAGTTATAATCTGGTACGAAGCATCTCTTCAATGTTTTGTTGTTTAATGCTCCTGCTCATGGTCCCTGTAAAGTAAACAAAATAAACTAATTCACTGACAAAATATGGTAATACAGTGTAGTGTTGCAGTTAAAAGAAAACATTTATCCAGAACTTAAAACTACTAAGATTACATAGAAGAAGAAACAATTTTCGTGAATGAATAGGAGTGAAAAGAACCAGGTGTGCCAGGTGCAAAAGCAGCTCTGAAATGTGATACGTTTGCCTTTTGTTCCAATGGAAGATAGATGCTAAGTAGATAATCTCCAGGGTAGTTTAACACATACATACAACACTGACAGTGCTTAAGGGAGGTGCCTGTTTGTGATAAGCCTAACTCTTAAAATAAATAAATAAATCCAAGTAAATTTGCCACACCCTCTGCTCCAGGAAATACACAGCTAGATAAGGAAATAAGGTGATCCAATAAGGTGTATGTTGTTTAAATTAATAAATCTGTTTATGGTTTGTTAGATTGTATTTGCTCATGTTGTGAAACTAAATTATGCAGTGACACAAAAACAATCCTTCTTTTTTCATAAAGATCAATGTTCAGTTTTAAACAAGGCACACTTAAGAATTGTGTTAAGTTTAATTTTTAGTTTAATTTGAAACAAAAAAAAATTATATATATATATATATATATATATATATATATATATATATATATATATATATATATATATATATATATATATATATATATAATATAGTAAAAGTTTGACCTGGTCCTCAAAACTCATACTTTTTCTGACAGAGATTACCTGTGGACGTCTTGATGAAAAAGACTGATCATCAATGATTAAAGAAAACTGAATCTTGATCTCACTCAAAGTTCAATTAATTGCAAACCCCTGCCTTTACAGTGCATGCACATACCAGGACGTAATACATAAGCAACAAAAGACCTATTGTTCAACACTATAAACATAAATGGAACATAATCTCACAAGTCGTATCCTGTGAATCATATTGAGGTCTCACATGATCAAGCCGAAACCATTTTGTCAGTGCACCTGTGACCTATCTCTTCAAAGTAAAGCATTTCACAGAGGTTTTCAGCCCAATTCACAAAATCATTCAGGCAGAACGCAGCACGACAATGACCTATGGTGCAGTGTGGGATAGAGTGGTTTGTTCTCTCTAGATAAATGTTGAATGAAAATGCCAGGATCCCAGTCATGTTATCTTAAGGGGCAAAATGGCTTCCAAATAATTGAAAAATGCATCAAAAAATGGAATCAAAAGTGAAAAAAAATATTAGAACGTAAAGTTGGAACCTGTGGGTGCAGAAAGAATGTGATTGCAGGAGCAGGATTTTGCTTATTTTTGTGCTCTTATGACATTTTCAGGCAGACTTTATATCCTGTTTCTCTCCTGTAGCCATCGATCAATGTCCAGGCAGCAGCTTCATATCTGTGAGCTGAGACTGCTCATGTGCAACCTGGATATGAAGCAGAAGAAAGGGGAGGAGGGGCATTGTTCACATCTTATCTTATTTATTTTCTCATTTTAATTAGTCCACGCAGTTAAAGAAACAGAAAAATGTATTAATCAGTAGGTTGGCAGTTAAATCCCAGATATTGCTTACTGTCATTGGGCAAGACACTTCACTCATCTGTGACTATTTATATTGATTGCGATCAGACTCTTGCCAGCATTGAGTGTGACAGAAAAAAAAACAAAAAACAAAAAAACACCTCTTTATATAAGCCAGTGTCAGGAAAAGCACTTCATAACCCTAATGCATTAGCATTATTCTGGTTTATTCCTTCCTTTTTTGTGGATGGCTGCAGCCTGTTCCAGCAGGGTGAGAAAGAGAGAGAGAATCCATAGTAACAGTGAGGAGCATAGTCAGACCCAAATTGACTATGACACTGTATTAAGTATAAGGAAGGTATCCTTTGATTTTTGTCTAATTGGAACCTCAAAGCAAGGTTAGTAAGAAATATCATTACCTTCAGTACACTTTTAAAGATGTACTAATAGAGTTTGGAGTACATGTCTTTTTGTAAAGAAACTGAGCACAGAGAGTCCAGTGAGGAAGAGCAGGGTTTATTCCCATTTTAAACAAATGTGAAAGAATCTGTATGCCTTTGTGTTCACCCTGCATAGAAGACTCATTACCGACAAGACAAGAAGAAAACAAGTTTTTTTTATATATCAGAAATATTTTGTAATAACTGAAAATGATTTTGAGTATTAAAAATAATGCATTATCTAAAATTTCAGTACACAGAGTCCACTGAGTGCCCATCTCTCCTTTTCAGCGTGTGTTTTTATTCTTGTGTCTTGCATCTCAAGCAGGTAACAAAGGCTTCTTAGAGAGGGCCCACCATTCATCAGGAGATGCTCCCCTTCTGGTTAATGAAGTCAGGGAGGCTCAGAGCACAGTAGTCTTCTCCTCTCTCCAGGACGAACTGGAAGAGCCAGGCCCAGAGCCAGTTCACCTGAGTTCCCTGCCCTGCACTCAGGCACAGCAATGGAAACAGAGGAGGCATTTAGAAACATTGTTAATAATAATATTAACAGCATTGTGCTCTCAAATAATAGGAATATGTTCATATAAGTGTTATATGAGTTTTGAATCTGATTTTATGTAGGGGCGCACCTCAGTGACCAGTGGCGCTCCAGTTTGTCCTAACACATGACCTTAGAAGACTTCTGTTAATGCTCATTCTCCAACAAAATGACATGATTCATTACATTTAAAGCACAGTTAGCGCCCCCTCTCCTGATCGGAGGCACCACTTTGACTGATAGACACCCACTCACTGATGATAACAGTGTATGTGAGTGATGAGACCATTTAAAACAGACATGTAGAGAATGAGAGAGATTGATAGGAAAACTGGGACAAAAAAATAGTTTTAATTGAAAGCAATTGTGCAGGTGGTATAATGTTACACAATTTTCGGCTCCATTTTGTCTTGATGCTATCTGAAAAGATAATACAGCATGGCTATTTTAAACCTGTTATCGTGGGGTGACTGCAGGTGCGTCCAAACCCTGTAGCACGATGCAAGTATGTGAATGCATAACCACACAGAGAACTATGTCATTTGTGTTCCTACGAACAAAAAGATAAGAGACACAGCTGCTTTCTTAATAATACAGCCAACATGGAGATTTATTAGGGTAGACTTTGTGAGGTCACTAAACCATATCAGAAATGTAGCTGTTAATCTGTGCCGGTGGTCAACACACATTTTACACTGGTAATGGTCGAGACATATCTTTAACCACTGATAAAAATAATTATAATTACGCACTCTAATATTACAGTGTGTTTTACCAAAGAACACAACAATAGAACTGATGGAATGTTATCACTGATTGATGTGTTTAACCCAAGAAGAAAACCATACAAAAAAATAAAAAATAAAAATATGTGCCTTATAGACTCATAGACAGAATTTTAGAAAAGATTATATAGTGTTGGTTAATGTGGGCCCATGTGTCCCTCAGACGCTGCTATACCCTGTCCCTTACCAAAGCCATGATAAATTGCAGGAGACCCAACTTGTGTCACCTGTGGAAGAGGAGGAGGAGGCTGAAAAGATAAGTCACAACAGAGCAGGATAGACACACTATTTCACTGATTAACTCCCCTTTGACCATCCACCATGAAATACACACAAGTGCGGACTTGACTACTGCCAGATTTTTCTCAGCGTCTCACCAGGATGCTCAGAGAAAGGGAACTTTTCTTCTCTGAAGACCATTAGTCCATACCTACAACACTGCCGCCCATCAATCTGTCTGCTGGAGAGGGATGCAGACAATTCCACCTTAACATATTAGGATTCAGGAAGTATAACTCTTTTTTGTATTCAGGTCTTTATGGGGATTCTGAGTTGGATAGGCTATTACTCACTAAAAAGTGCAAAGAGCATTTACCGGGGCTACACCATACCCTCTCCTCATAGCAAGAAGGTTCTTGGTTTGATTCCCAGGCTGGATGGTGTATGCATATTCTCCCCATATCCAGGTGGGTTTTCCTCAGGGTACCTTGTCACCCTAAATAAATTGACTTGCACCTGACAGGTTGCTCCTACCCCTGTAGCACTGAAGGGTGGGTCAAGAGCCCTGGGCAAATTTCCAAACAAATACATCAACCTTACTGCTAAACCAGAAGACAAGAAGACAACATTTTAAAGTCAATTTTGGAGACTAAATGAAATGCATGATCTGTTTTTAGGTACTTTTGTCCAAGCCTTATACTCTTTTCATCTTAAGGGCATTTGACCTCAAAAGTTGTAATTAAACTGAAATCCACTGAAATAAGTTTTTAAAGTGCAGAAAAGGAGTGGGGTGGGACTAGAGGTCTTTCATAATAAGACAGTTTTAAATTCAAACTGTGAGTGGGCTCATTAAATGTAGAGGACAACCCCAGTGCATCCTTAAAATGCTGGGCACTGAACTGAAGCTGATTTCAGTAGCCTATATGGCTCTCCTTTGGTCATTATAAAGTTTCATGGTTTCTAAAGTGTGTGCATGGTAAAACTCTGAACACTGAGCTGCAGGCTAATTGAGCTCCAGGCTAAATCTGTTTAGCTCAGTTGTTGGATATTTAGCCTGCATTATCAGACAGTCAGTCTGACGTTTCCCCGCCACAGGTAGTAGATCTATTAATGATATTTGAACGCTGAGTGCATAAGTCAAACAAAGATGACATTTAAAGAAAGAAAATATTGGGCTAATAAGGGCGGGCTAATAAGGGCGACGCAGGTCTACTTTCATAGGTAAATAGAGCCATCGTGTGGTTGTTTTTTACAATTACAACACTTTGGGTCAGCCGCGGAACCATTGCACAGTCTTTTGTTTGTAGTCGGAATGGGTACACGACAGCACGATCTCACAAAGTTGTGGATGAAATAAGAAGCAGTTTTGACTAACACAACAAATATAGACGCTTTCAGACAAAGCTCAGCAGTTCGCCGCATTTGCGTCTTTTGCGCAAGTCTTCTAAAATTCAGGGAATGCGGACTAATCACGTGTGCAACAAACAGTGAGTCTGAAGTTTCTATCCACAATGAACAAATGTCTTTGCCCTTGGGGTTTATTTGATGTTGTTTGTGTTTTTTTGCTGCAGGTAAGACATCATGAACAAAGAGACCAGACTGAAAGCATCAGTGAACCAGAAGCTGACAGAGATGGGCGAACGAGAGAGGTGAGATTATGGCAAAGACTACAGACAAATGTTTGTCTAATAATTATTGAGCAGCTAAAAGTACCACAAATAGTAGTGTTCCTAAGCGCAAGTAAATGGTAACACTAACACTGCTTCTAAGTTAAATGTTTTTAAGATCTTTATACCGTACATATATTTGCTAACCCCTTTGAAAAAAGACAAATTAACTGAAACAATTTCATTGAAGACTAAAGGAGCTTCTGAGAGCCAAACTCACAGAGTGCGGATGGAAAGATCAGATGAAGGCCCATTGCAAAGGTATGAAGTAACTTCTTGACATAACAAATATAATACTTGTGGTTTCTGCAGCCTAGTTGTGTCTTAATACAGTGTAAAATAAACAAGGGTAAGAATAATGGTCTGCAACAGTTAAGTTAAATCAGAATTTACTAATCATGAAATTGAAAATATATTTTTTGTATTATTTTGTTGTCTTGTATTGTCTCTGTTTTAAATTAAATGTCAATTCATGTTTTACTTTGCAGATGTTATAAAAGAGAAGGGCCTGGAGCATGTGACTGTGGAGGACTTGGTGGCAGAGATTACTCCTAAAGGAAGAGGTAATAGTCCACTTTTCCAAAAGTCCAAAAAAGACTTTGAATACTTGATCCGTTTTCCCTCTTTTGCAGCGATGGTACCTGACAGCGTCAAGAAAGAGCTTCTGCACAGAATAAGAGCCTTTCTGTCTCAGCATGCCTCATAAGATACACTATTTTTAGTTAAGTGATTTTACTTGATTTTTTTTTTTTTTTTGTACTTGATTTAGCAGTATGCTTTGTACATTTTTATATGACTTTAGATTATCTATCAATGCAGTTGACTCATTTATTAGTAACTTCAATTGAAATCCTTAACAATAATAAAATTGACTGTTATAGCCTATAGATTCAAAAGAGAAAAGTGGCCTTCTTTGTTGAGATAGTTATATGATATGAATGAGAACTTATGTTGTTGAGATAATAAAAATACTTTCACAAAAAGATGCACACAGAGCAATGTTTTCATTCTAGCCCCCACTTGGGCATTCTGAGACCAATATTAAATGTAACTAACTGCTATATCACAACTCTAATGCCATATAGCTCTATCATTCCATAATTTTCATAAGATTCATTTATTTTCTTTTGTTAAGTTTCAGTATTTCGGACACAAAAACCTGTCCATACACCAGTGGGTCTGTCAGTGTGTGCTGAGATCTTCACTTCTTTTGGATCACCATCATAGCACCTGTGTCAATAAGAGACACGGCCAAAAGCGAGGTCACTGTAGTTTGGCTTCCATTCATGCTCTTCAGTCATTTTTAGTAGCAAACTAAAATGATCATAAACACATCTTTTCCAGTAACACTGCTCATAAACATATGGAAAACATATGTCTGTGACAAGTCTTTTAAAACCATAGTGGGAATATTGTACCATAGCACAGTGTGGATAAGCAGGCACCTGTTTCAAGTGATAACAGTCGTACAAGTGAATTACTGTAGGTGAAGACCTGGACCTGATGCAGAGCAGTGTAAATCTCTATGTTTACAACAACCAGTCTGATGTTTCAGATTTATTAAGACATCTCCTAGGCTTTTCTGTCTCATATATCATTGCCTATATTTCTTTTTTTTATAAAGGAAAGGGCAGAGCATTGCATAAGCACACAGGGTTAAAAAATCCACAAGATTTGTTGCATTTGGTCCAACATTTGGGAAAGCAATGTCTGATCAATTTCCTCAAGCTGAATTTATCACAGAACACTTAACTGCAGTGCTCAAATTTGTTAAATTTCAAGTTTCTTAAATTTGAAAAGTAAAAGGTAAAAGTAAGAAAATAAGAGTTCATTAATTTTAATTTCAAGCCAGTTAAAGGAACCCTCAACATTTGGATTTCAATTATGTAATGATATGAGGTAGACACGTTTAAATCAAATAGATTTTACTGATTAAAAAATGTAATGGCCAGTGGCCAGGTGGAGTCCTGAAATACAGTTGATTTAAACCTAAAAGGATGCTTTCTGATCTTAATCATCACTACCTAAACCCCAGCACAGCAGCCAGTCATGAACCAGTGCTAGTACAGCCTTTGCAGCTGAGTGAGGGAATTCTGAGCTTTCACATGAGGCACAGCCTGGCCATATACTGACAAAGAGAAAACTTGTATCTATCCTGCTGGTTAAGGCTCTGGCCTTTTTTTTTTTTTTTTTATTTTTTTTTTACTGTAAGAGCGCAATCTTCATATAGTCCCTCTAACTTGTGGGTGTGGCTGAAATAGCCAATTTGTGTAAAAACAAATAAAAAATGGGGATGGTGGCCATACCGGCTTGTCAAAGCCTGATCCCGTCAGACCTCAGAAGCTAAGCAAGGCTGGGTCTGGTTAGTGCTTGGATGGGAGACTGCTGGGAAAATCAGGTGCCACAGTGGGGTATAAGTGGCAAAAACTGTCATTGTGTCTTTAGGCAAGACACTTCACCCACATTGCCTAGTATGAAAGTGGTGTGTGTGTGTGAGTGATGGTAATGGTTGGAGGGATCGATGGCGCAGATTAGCAGCCTCGCTTCCATCAGTCTGTCTCAGGGCAGCTGTGGCTACAATAGTAGAACCTTACCACCACCAAGTGTTGAGTGAATGAACAATGAACTATAAAGCACTTTGAGTATCTTGAAAGGCGCTATATAAATCCAGTGATTAATTAATTAATTATTAAAATTAATGAATAATCAATTAATGTCTGCCTTTTTATGTGTGCCAGCCCAAGTACATTGTGATAAAACTCTTACAACAATTGTTTAAAAATAATGAATGCAAACGTATACATCATTATTACCCGCCTCTGTCCAGGCCGAGTCTCCTGGGGACGCTTTGCTCCACTCTAATGAAGCTGACGACCACATCTCATTGTTGTTTCTGGCATCAGACTCCTTGCAGGTTTTTCACTTTCTCTCTCTCAGTAGCGCCATGCAAATAAAATATAAGGAAATACATCATCCCTTTTTCTAGTGTGACAGCCAAGACTCGTTCTGCCAAAGTTAACACAGCACAATCTCCAGTAATGATCAGCAATGAGTATAAAGTTTCATAGAGCATGACTTCACATAATTCTTTGTTATTATAATTCTTCTGTCTTGGTGAATCCTGTGCTTCTTTAAAGGGCTCTTATTACACTATTTTCTGATTTATGCCATAATGTTATAATATATATATATATATATATATATATATATATATATATATATATATATATATATAAAATGTGTTTCTCACCTTCCACGGTGGTAGGTCTCTCTCACCCTCATTCAGCTCGGGTCCTCTACCAGAGGCCTGGGAGCTTGAGAGTTCTGCGCAGTATCTTTGCTGTTCCCAGTACTGCACTTTTCTGGACTGAGATGTCCGTTGTTTTTTCCCGGTATCTGTTGTAGCCACTCTTCCAGTTTGGGGGTTACAGCCCCGAGTGCTCCGATCACCACAGGCACCACTGATGCCTTTACTTTCCAGGCTCTCTCCAGCTCTTCCTTGAGCCCCTGGTATTTCTCTAGCTTCTCGTGTTCCTTTTTCCTGATATTACCATCGCTTGGTATTGCGATGTCAACCACCACGACTCTGCTCTGTTTCTTATCCACCACCACTATGTCTGGTTGGTTCGCCATCACCATTCTGTCAGTCTGTATCTGGAAGTCCCACAGGATCTTGGCTCGGTCATTCTCCACAACCTTTGGAGGTGTTTCCCACCTTGATCCTGGGGTTTCCAGCCCGTACTCTGCACAGATGTTTCTGTACACTATGCCCGCCACTTGGTTATGTCGCTCCATGTATGCTTTCCCTGCCAGCATCTTACACCCCGCAGTTATGTGCTGGACTGTCTCAGGAGCCTCTTTGCACAGTCTACACCGTGGGTCTTGTCTGGTGTGGTAGATCTGGGCCTCTATTGCTCGAGTGCCCAGGGCCTGCTCCTGAGCAGCCAGGATCAGTGCCTCTGTGCTGTCCTTCAGACCAGCCCTCTCAAGCCATTGGTAGGATTTCTTGATATCAGCCACTTCAGTTATGCTCCGGTGGTACGCCCCATGTAGGGGTTTGTCCTGCCATGATGGTCCCTCCAGCACCTCTTCCTCTGGACCCCACTGTCTGAGACATTCTCTGAGCACCTCATCTGCCGGGGCCTTGTCCTTGTTGTACTCAAGGAGCTTGGATGTTTCATCCTGGACAGTGGTTCCCACACTCACTAGTCCTCGGCCCCCTTCTTTCCAGCCTGCGTACAGTCTCAGGGTGCTGGATTTGGGATGGAACCCTCCATGCATGGTCAGGAGCTTTTGTGTCTTAACATCTGTGGTCTGTATCTCCTCCTTTGGCCAGCTTACAATCCCTGCAGGGTATCTGATCACTGGCAGGGCGTAGCTGTTGATTGCCTGCACCTTGTTCTTGCCATTGAGCTGGCTTCTAAGGACTTGCCTCACTCTTTGCAGGTATTTGGCCGTAGCCGCTTTCCTTGTTGCCTCTTCGAGGTTGCCATTTGCTTGTGGGATACCAAGGTACTTGTAACTGTCCTCAACGTCTGCTATTGTTCCCTCTGGGAGTGACACCCCCTCTGTGTGGACTACCTTCCCTCTCTTTGTCACCATCCTGCTACATTTCTCAAGCCCAAATGACATCCCAATGTCTGTACTGTAGATCCTTGTGGTGTGGATCAGTGAGTCGATGTCTCGCTCACTCTTAGCGTACAGCTTGATGTCATCCATGTAGAGGAGGTGACTGATGGTGGCCCCGTTTCTGAGTCGGTATCCATAGCCAGTGCAGTCGATTATTTGGCTGAGAGGGTTCAGGCCTATGCAGAACAGTAGTGGGGACAGTGAGTCTCCTTGGTATATGCCACATTTGATGGACACATGTGCAAGTGGCTTCCCCTTGGCTTCAAGGGTGGTTTTCCACAACCATATATATATATATATATATATATATATATATATATATATATATATATATATATATATATATATATATATATATAACATATCTAAAGTTTTGTTTTGTTCTATTCACACATGTTTAGCACACAGATCCTGCATATCTAGGCTGAGCACTTTTCTCAAACACTCTGTACCACCATGGTCTTGTGGTAATATCAGAAGTGCTCTTAAGACTGTGCTTTTAAACATACACTAGATACACTAGATTAATTTAGGTAATTTTAGCCCTAGAAGATTTTAGCCAATCTCTACCGAACTAAAGTTAAAAGGTAACTGTTGAAAACTACTATTACATGACATCACAAGGAGGAACAGAGCATTTCAACTTTTGGAGATGTAGACAGATAGTAAACAGTAATAAAGGATTACTCAAACATGAATGAAAACACAATTCCATGTTTTTGAGGAGATAACAAGATTATAACACGGCTAAATCTCACAAGAGTTAATTTTGCATAATATAGTATATTTAAAGAACAATTCTATGTTATAAACTATTTTGTAGAAGTACAATAACTAGGAGAGGATTAACTACTAGTTATAAATGGTGGAATTGTAACAGTATGTAATAGTTGTTGCAAAATAACCAATGTTAGTTTTTTTCTTTTCATTGAGTAAAACAACATTACATCACTATCCAAGATGAGAATGAATTGGCATCTGTAAATGTGTCATTGCTCTACCTACAGCACAGTGCACACAGATGGGGAGATGGGGGGTCTTTGTATGTTGACAGGGGAACATAATCCGCTCATTGTTTACCCCGTTCCTGATGTAGGGGCCACGTACTGCCTGTCCACTCTTTAACCTTTCATTTGCTGCTGCAGTGTTTGAAGTGTGTGCATACTTCTGCTGACTGCACTAGCTTTACTCTAACCTCCCTCTCTCCTGTTTGCTGCTCTGTACTGTAGAGAAAGTGCAACTGGATAGGCCATGTTTCCAAAGTCGGGGGCTCTCTTAGGCCTGTGATAGAAAACACAAGTGTGGGGAAGAGGGGAGATCCACAGAGAGGCCCCAGCTCTGCTCCAGACAACACTG